GGTCGGTCAATTTCTATATCAATTGATTTCTGAAATCCTCTCTTTTGACGTGTTGTATTTTTGATAGAATGTCCTTTATAATGATCAAATACCACATCTATCATTTGAGCATTAAATTTATTTCTAAAAATAATGTTTACAAATATATGAGCATATTCTTTAAATGATATGCAACTTTTGAGCTTTCCTATTTTGATATAATTTTTGTCTTTGCTACTTGTAGCAACAAATCCGTAATTAAAATTTTAAACGAAAACTTATGACTTACCCAAATATATTCAGCTGCAACAGGATGAATGTAGATATAATAAAGATGCAAAAATGTCTATATTTTTTCCCAATTTATTAGGTAATTTAATATATAACACATACACTTATTAATTCTTTAGTAAAAACAGATAACAATATGACACATTGCCCAATGGAACATAACGAGAAGTTTTATAATAAAAAAAAATGAAAAATCCTACCATATCAATAATGTGATACATCAGCCGGCACGTAGAGAGAAACAGAGCTATGCTACGTTTGAAGGTGAAGAGAAAGATACACTGAGAGTTGATAAATTTGGCGGTGAGAATTAATAACAGCATAAACCTATGACATCTCTCATCGTTTATTGTTATATCTTTGTTAATTCAAAAGCAAAAAATATGGTGTTTACTCTGTTACCTTGTCAACACATAACCAAAAATTTTATAAGGAATGTTTTTTTTTTCATTTAGGCCTTCGTTTTTTGTTAAATGAGTGGTATATTTAAAAAAGACGACTTTTTAACTAAATTTTTGAAGGGCTAAAACCAAGATATTTACGTTTATATTTTTTTTTCAGCCGTAAGTGCTAATGCAAATGATTTTTTTTAAATAAGTATGAACAATTACTCCCTACAAAGATTTTATTGTGCATTTGATTAAAAAATGAGTATTTTTTTCTCTATTCGGTGGTATCAATATCTGAATTTTTGATGATAATGCCCTTCTGCACACTCTAATTTTGTATTAACTCCGGAATAAGGGTTACCTTATCATGACCTTTCATCTGTGAAAAATTCAGCCTTGTGACAAAAGAGTGGGAGGTGAATCGTTTTCTTGAGCGAATATTTTAATACATACACTTTACTAACAATGACAACAGCGGATATTATGTCCTACTGTGTCCCTTAGAATATGTCTTATTCACGGCCGCACGATATTTGTTAGTAGTTACATCTCCTGGTTATCTCTGGGTCAAACGCAGCATCAAGAAACTTGACACTATAATAAATATAGTAACACCAAGAAATGAAAATAAAAGAATGTGAAAAAAATCTGAAAAACTATCACCCATATTGAAAGACCCTTTATTATCCATGCATATTATCGCACAAGAGGTAGCATTTGTTTGTCTTCCGGAATTTTAGAATGTCAGTAAAATGTCATCTGCCATGCTAAATATAAAATATAAATATAAAAGTGTCTGCCGTATCCTTGGAACAGCTATATACATTATTTTTTATTAGTAACAATAATTAGGTATCAAGAAACCTAGATAATAATAATAATAATAATAATAATAATTTTTATTGACCTTTGAAAACAAATAATACAAATTCCATTTTACATGTATATCCTTATAAATATCCATTTATGTTAACAAGAAATCAGGTCAATAGGCCCTTTGATCAGCATAAGCTGTTCTTCCTCAAAGGCCTGAGTACAGAGGAAAAAAAAATAAAAATAATTCATTGCCTACTTAAGAGCGTAGATACCTGGGAACTTAGATAACAAAGATAATGATTGAAAAACATTTTTTTTTTTTTTTCATAAAAAGGTTTTAGCTTTGCTATCCAAATTTGTTTATAAATTTTAATTTGTACATACATTAAACATTTTATAAATTTTCATATTTTAAAACTCATAGATTACTTAATTTCTACATTCTTGAATTGCTAATTTTCGAAATTCTTAAGTTTTAAATGTTTTTAAAATATTTTAATTCTAAATTATTAAATTCCTAAATTCCTGAATTTCAAAATTTCTAAGTTACTAAATTAAATTACTGAATCCCAAAATTTCTGCATTGGTCATTAAAAATATTCACGAATAGACGACTCTTTAAAGAGGTAATAGAAAGGTTTTTTAGGGAATCTGAGACATTGTTATATTCTTTCGATATCTGATATGAGTAACTGTTCTTAAACTGCTGTGTATTGTGTTTTGGTACATCAATTTCATTTTTCTTTCGAGTATGCTTGTTATGAATATCTGTGCGGAAGATAATTTTGTTATAAAGGTATGGTGGACATTTTTTCATTATTGTTTTGTGAAACAGGGTTAGTGCATGAAGTTTTCTGCGATTTCGCATATTTAACCACTTCGCTAATTTTAGAGTATGAGAAATCCTTTCAAATTTCTTTATTCCATAAATGAGCCTTAGGCAAGAATTTTGAAGTTTTTGTATTCTATTGGAATCATTTACAGAGAGACAGGGCCCGTACAAGTAATCGCAGTAATTAGCATTACTCAGAACAAGAGAATCACATAGTTGAATTTTTAATTCTTTGTTAAACAAATGTCTACTTTGATACAGTGTTTTTAGCTTATAATAAGATTTTTGTAAAATATATGAAGTATGATCAGAGAACTTTAGTTTATTATCAAATATTATGCCAAGATTTCTTGCTTTTTCTGTTATGGGTAAAGATACGTTATTTATGTTGACAGATATGTTATTAGATGGACTGAAACCAAAACATATGACAGATGACTTGTTCGTGTTGATTACTAAGTTGTGCTTGGTCGAAAATTCTATTAGAGTATTTAAATCATTATTTATTTCCTGTAGCGCTAAAATTTCATCATTTTTATGAAAGAATCTGTACAGCTGGGTATCGTCAGCATACATGTGCACTTTGCAATGCTGTAATATTGCTGAAAAATTATTAGTATATATTGTATAGAAGAGGGGACCCAAAATGGAACCTTGAGCCACTCCTCGTGATATTTTACCAATTTCAGACGATACTCCGTTATAATTTACTTTTTGTGTTCTGTCAGTCAAATAATTATTAAAGAAAGTTATAGCAGTAGAACTCAATCCTATAAAATGTAGAATGGCTAAGAATAACTCGTGGTTGATCATATCGAAAGCCTTACTGTAATCGAGTAGAATTAAGACACCAACCTTTTTTGTATCGAGTTCTCTAAAAAAATCATCTGTTATATTGAGAAGAGCAGTTCCACAACTATATCCCGGTCTGAAACCAGATTGAACGGACGGAAGAATATTGTATTTTTCAATATGTTCTCTAAGTTGTATTTCTACGACTCTTTCCAAAACTTTCGAGAGAACCGGGAGAATAGTTATGGGACGAAGCTCACTCAGATTAGCTGGTGACGTAACTTTTGGGATGGGAAGAACTAGACCCTGTTTCCAAATGTCTGGAAAGACATAATATTTTAAACAAAAATTTACTATATGTGTTATATGTGGAATTAGGTAAGGGCAAAGAAATCTAATCATGGTAATGTTAATTCCGTCACTCCCACTAGCAACGCTTTTTATTTTGAGGATTATTTGCATTATATTATACTCTTCTACTTCTTTAAATACTAATATCTGTGAAAAATTTGCTTTAAGATTGTTTTGGTAAAAACTGAGAATATCTGCATCGGAGTTAATGTTAACACCATTTGTTTGTAGAAAATATTGGTTAATGTCATTTGTATTTATAGATGAGTCGAGATTAAAGCTGGTATCTTGTTTGAATCCGGTGAACTTGTTTATTAATTTCCATTTTTCTTTACTATTAAAGAAAATTTTTGTTCGAAATATATTTTCTGTTCTGTGCGAATTGCTTGTGTAATATAATTTCTTAAGAGTTTGTAATAGTCCCAGTGCGCTTTCTTTTTTATTTTTTTGTATTTACTAAAAGCTTTGTTGCGTAAATTAATCATAAATTTGATGTTGTCGGTAATCCAGGGCTTAGGTTTGTTTTTAACAGTAATTGTTTTAAACGGTGCATGCAAATCAAAAATTTGAGTAACACATTTATTAAATATTTCTATTTTATCATCTACGTTGTTTTTTTTTAAAATTAAATGCCAAGGGAGAGATTTTGAATCATTGTTAAAAATTTTTAGATTAAATTTTGAAAAATCCCTATATGACTTTTTATTCAATATATTTTTTAAAATTTTGATATTCACAGTACATTCAACAAGAAAGTGATCTGAAAGATTCATATCTAAGACCTTCAATCTAGAGAATTCTAGGGAATCAGTTAAAATTATGTAATCTAATAGTCGATCTTTCCGTGTGGGCTCCTGCAAGATTTGCATGAGTCCAGTACCCTCTAGTAATGAATTAAAGGTCTTTGTTGTATTATTTTCAGTAAGTAAGTCAATGTTAAAATCACCGACACAAATGAAATTATTATATTCAACTGATAGTATTGATATGTTATTTTCAAAAGTATCCAGAAAATTATTGACATTAGTGTCAGGTGGTCGGTATATAATACCAATACAGATTTGTGTGTTGTTTGTTTTTAGACTAACCCAGAGTTGCTCATAATATTGATTGGTACTAAATTCTTCTATAACTTTAATTTTTAAAGATTCCCTCGCGTACATACATACCCCGCCTCCAAGTTTATCACCTCTATCATTGCGATAACATTTGTATCCTACAACTTTAATAGAATCATTAGATATATTTTTATTCAACCACGATTCAGATATACAGAATATATCGTAGTTTTTATTTACAATTTTATTCCTGACAAAATTAATTTTAGGAAATAATGACCGAGTATTCCAATGGCCAATGCACAAATTTTTAAACTCCATGTTTATAAACCTAATCTAAACAGAGGAAAATCAAATAAAATAATTTTTATAGAATATTATTCCACCAAGGTATTGCGATAAGTTAACCAATGTAAAAATGTTATTGTTAAACTAAATATAAAAAAGAAAAATGCTTATAAAATTTACTTGGCAACGAGTCAAATTCAGTATTTATTTCTTTATTTGCTTGGAACTTCTTGTCTTTGGGCTATAGTGAGCGTTATATTTCTTCGACTTCTGACTAACTTTCTTCGACAGCTCCTTTTTTTCGGCCGAGTGTGATGAAATTATTGCATTGACTGACGATGACGTAGATCCTCGTTGACATCTGCTATGTACTTTAGTTTCTATGTCTCCTTCCTCTGAGTCACTGGAAGAGACTAGACTTTCTTCTAATTCTTTGAGATCTTCTACTGTATATAGTTTGTCTTCGATCTCCAGTGAAAAACCTTTTATGCGGGCAGAAAGATTTTGGATTTTGGCTTCTTTTAAATGATGTACTAATATTCTTTGTTTAGTTCGGTCTTCGTAGGAAGCATCGTTGGCTATCGCTACACCAGTACCCTTCAGTTTTTTAATGTTTTTATATATCTCTTGTTTTTTTAGGAAAGAAATAAATTCTAAAACAATAGTTTCTTTTTTTGTCCAATAGGTATATGTTATTGATATCCTGATGGGTAATTTTGATTCCCAGTAGGTTGTTTAAATTGTCAGTAACTTCTTGCAACAAATTTAATTTATTTTTTACGACCATGCCAAAAATTACTATGTTATAATAATTATTAACGCAAAAATCTTCTACCTTTAAGATGATCAGTACAAAAATAAGGATCGATGTATTCTTATTATATCTCACATACATTCAAGGATTATATGTGCTGAAGACCGAGAGTATCAAATAAAAAATAATGAACATTTAAGCAAATAACGAGTCCACTAGGGTCCTTAAATTCTGAAAGGCTTTATCCAACTGAAAATCCATTTCTACCCAATATAATCATAAACATCAAAGCTCTTTAAGTTCTTTTAGTTTGCACTTACAACTGCAAAATCAATATAATACCTAATCTCTTTTAATTAAACAGAGTAGTCACCAGTTAGGGAGTTACTCTTAAGCTAGTCCTTCCACAGTATCCAATGCTGGAGCTGCTGACATTTTAATTCCACCAGACTCTTATCACATCACCTTCTACTAGAAACTACTTTGCAGCCTTATAAAAGCACTCATATTTCCTGGTTATTCGCCAGTATCTGGAAGAAATGAAGCCTTCTTCATGATAAAGAACTTGATATGGTGTGCGTACTTTGTGATGCCATTATTCACTGATATGACAGTTTGTTCCCCTATGAAGGCTAGAGAAAAGAAGGAGAATCGAACATGGTCAAATACCAAAGGTACGTCCTTTTTATAAAGTTCACCAAATTGACTATAGTTGGCGGGTGGTATGTTAGTGACGTTTATTTTCTATGTAAATCAATGTTAAATAAAGTGTATTTTTTTTAAATTGGTGAAAAGAATCTAAATAATGTGAAAAGAGTGCCTTAGTCAGGGCCGAATAGAGGGGGGGGGGCAGCCTGGACTAATTTCCGGGGCCCGGACTCAAATGGGGGCTCGGCAACCGTGGCGAGGATTACGAGAGGGAAGTTTTTGGTTGGGGAGCTTTTTTTTTTAGAAAATTCAATTCAAGTAGAGGAGGAAAAGTATTTGTTTGAAGAGCTTTTTTTTTTAAATTTAATTCAAGTAGAGGAGATATTTTTTATAACATTCTAGAGAATTGTCCTGGGGCCCGGCCTGATTCTCGGCGGCCCTGGCCTTAGTACAAGTAACATGAGTTACAAAAAACATCCAAGTAAGATTTACTTCATTCTAGATTGTAAAACGGTATATACATCAGATGTAAAACACAAAAAGAAATCAATTCAGTATTTTTAAAGCTCCTAGTATAAGTAAAATAATGTATTTATTTCTAAATATAATATGTTGTAAACTAGATAGAACCCGTATCGTACAGAGTGTAGTTTATTTCTATTCATTTCTATAATATAAAATTTTACAGTCATAAATCCTGACTTGTAAACAACATTAATACTTGAACAATAAATTGAATTTACTAGAAAAGAAAAGTTGTTTTCTTTTCAAAGTTTTAATATTATATTAAAAAATACTACTGTTAATTTTTTGTTGAACCCTAATTTAGTCATTGTAAATGTTTTTTATAGAATCCTAAATGATTAGAACAGTGGCAGCACATTAGTATTCTATGATATAACACTTTCTAGACATGGTGTTGTTTGCTAGCTACACTTTTTAGAAGGTATTTCCAAATATTATAAGACTCTTTTTAGCAAAATAAAAAGAGGAAGGCCAAAATCAAAGGATAAGGCAATACCATGTATATTTCCAAATCTCTCTTTATGTTTGTATTATAACAATGAAACCTTTTCGAATTTGGTCATAACTACCTAATTTGCATTTTATATAGATAAAATCAAATAAATTATCAATTAAAACATGCAAGACTTATTTAGTAGTAAATATAACAATATTGTATGTGCTTTATTTAGCAATATGTAAAATTATGTAAAATGCCCATGAGAAGTCATGTATTTTTAACAGCACTACCAGCGCCCCTGCGGTGAATTGAAAAAGTTCAATTAACGTTCTTTTTTTGGGACCTTATTTCGAGTATGGCGATTCGTCTCCTTATCCCTGTCTTTATAATTTGTTCTTATAAAAAGGATATGTAAGACTAGTAGTAATAGTATATCCGATTTAAAGGTAGCCTGTAGATCTTATAAATTTACTGAGTATCCGGAACATTATAATATACATTTCAATGAATTTGGAGCAAAACGAAGAATGTCATCAAAATAGTTTTAAAAATATTAAAAAAAAGAAAATAATAATTAACGTCACTTAATGACAATAAACGATACTGTAGCTTCCTGCGATAATGACATTGTCAATCTATTTACTAGTCATGTTTCTTCTGTTGGTGCGTTTGATTTGATCATCGGAGATCTCCGAGCGCTTCAAAAGTGTTTGAATTGACACTCCGAGAGATCCCCAAAGTGTTTGTTTCGCTTTGGAGCGAGAACATAGAGCGAGCTCGATGTTCTCAGAGCAGAAAGATCGAGAAGAGGGAGAAATTTGTCTTTGTCTCTACCTATCTCTTTTTAATTAACAAATTTGAATCTCAAAATTAAAGACCAGACAAGAAGTCAACAAATTATTTAGCCGCTTTTGTCTTATAGCTAAAATTATTCATCATAAAAAAACACAAAATATGTGTTTGGAAAATACATTTTCTCTGTCCAGATCTAATCACTAGTAATCACAGTCATGGAGTAGGAGAGCGAAGCGGGCATTTGTGGTAAATGCTGCATTTCAGGCCCAATACCCCTTATTATTAAAAGTTTTTCCATTTTGTTTACTTTTTGCTCACTATTTTAACATACAAACCAGAAACAAGAATCACAAGAAAGCGAGGTTATGTTTTTTACTCTGTTTTATTTGATTTGATTCAATGCTCTATTGTGACGTCATCACTTCTCGGTCTCCTCGACGCTCGCTCACTCGAGTTTTAAATCAAACGCCCCTTTAGTGTACGAGCCTAATCCAATGATAGCCAAATCCAATCAAGAATATGTGTATCTATTAGTTTTATTCAAATTTTCAGGATTGATAAAAACTGTCGAAATTAATATAGGACATGTCCCACTGAACTGTAAACGGTACAATGGAACGCTATTCCTACTATACTAAAAATGTGATGTGTCCAACACATGACTTTTCTGACTAGTTACTATAGGCTTTTTCCTGTTATCTTGTACAACCTATTGAATCACCCTGTAAATGTTTAGAGAATAAACTAAATATATTTATATTTTCCACATACATCTTACTTGAAACATTTTTTTTATATATATTCATTGTCAACGAACATACTGAAAATTTAAAAGTTTACACTTTTCCTCAATTTTTTCCAGTACGGTTCATTTTAGAGAAATCATGTATAAAACAAAAATTCTAGAGATCGATATCGCAAACAACTTTTAGTTTAACAATTTTCCTAAAAAATATTATTTTGCACGTTTTGTCAAATTTCTCGACTACGGACCATTTTAAGAAAATTATGTATTTAACAAAAATTATAGAAAATAATAGTACAAGCAACTTTTATTTAAAGAATTTTTTTTTATAAGCGTAAATACCATAAATAATACATTTCATGAAGTAGAGACAAGACCTTCTATAAAGTATGTCTCAGATTTTTTAACTATGCCCATTTTACCGCAAGATGGATTAAAACCTAAATTTATGGAATATATGTTGTTATTTATGCGTAGAAAAGAAAATGCTTTATAATTTTTGTTGTATACATAATTTTTCTTGTGCGATATTAATCTCTATAATTTTTGTTAATAAAATTATTTTTCTAAAATGGCCCGTAATGGAAAAATATAAGTTAAAAATTTAAATTTTTTAGTATTTTCGTTGGCAATGAATATATTATAAACAATGTTTTGAATAAGAGTATTGTGATGTTTGTTTACTATAAAACAACAGTTTACTTATTAATAATTTATTTAAACACTTATTTATTTTACAACACAACTATTCTAATTTATATATACTTCGAATGTCTTTAAACTGTTCACTCTATTTATCTTCACTGTACATATAATAACTAACTCTGATGGGTCCTCCACCAATATTTATATACAAATTTATAAAATTGGCGAATGTTCTAGTAAGTTCACATATTCTCTCCAATACAATAGAAACATTATCTCGTTCTTTCTCGAACATCATCGAAAGCACCTCCATCATAGTCGTCTTATAGGTTTGGTCTCAAGGGGTTTAATTATGTATGATAAGCGGACAAGTTGAGCCTCTAAGGCCAAATAATACGGAGAGGGACTTGGAGTATTAGAGCATGACTGAATAATGAAATGGCTCACATTACATTGCCCTCTCCTTAAGAGATAGTTCATCCTGGAACTCTTACGAAACTAAAATGGAATGGTTGTATCTGCAACTGAACCCTCTTTTACAATTTCCAGTTGCATGGAAGTAACAAGGGACTGTCTTCACTGTAACCTGGGCACTGGGCGAATGGCTGCAGACCAGTATTTGAACTCCGGCATCTTAAAAGATTACTTCCACCATGTTCCCAATGATCCTCTAATCCAGCTGAATTCCTTCTATCTTTGGCATGGCTAGTTTCTGTACATTGGACTCCAGTACATGCTTCCTCAAACTGAGTAATGCTTCACATACATCCTGATAGGTGGATCGATCTCGGAAGGTGTTCTTCGTTATCAAATAGAAAAGGTAGCGCGATTCGTCTTGAAGTTTTAAGGCTTTTCCAGGGGCTGGTAACTGACATTGAAGTTCTACCAGTCGACCAAACTTCTTACGGAACACAGTCCTTGCGCGTCGTTGATGCTGGCGGAAGTACTATGGACCAGCGAGTAGTCTTTCGGAAGCGATAGCAGATCTTGTTGTTGCTCGGTCGTAACACCATATCTGGCTTTTCCAGTACCTCCATATGCACCCATAAATTCTTCAAAGACAAGGTCTGGTGTTTCTTGAAGTTGGTTTACTTCTTCTTCA